TTACCATGTAATGACAGCTTAATAAAAGAAAATTAAAACCAGTTTCCCAGGGCACCTGGGTGGCTCATTTGGTTAAGTGTCCAACTTCAACTCAGGTCATGATCTCACGGTCCTTGGGTTGGAGCCCTAGGTCAGACTCTGGGCTGAAAGCTCAGAGCCTGGAAGACTGCTTCGGATTCTGTGGAACCCTCTCTCTCTGCCCTTCCTCACTTATGCTCTGTCTCTCTCTGTCTCTCAAAAATAAAGAATAAAAAAATATATTAAAAAAAGTTTCCTAAGTGACTTTAACTTTAGTTGTACAAATCAACTTACACAAATTCTTTGAGGAGAGCTTGGCTGGCTCAGTAGGACAAGCATGTGACTCTTGATCTCAGGATCAGGAGTTCAAGCCCTATGTTCGATATGGCAATTACTAAAAAAAAAAATTACTATAAGCATATATATATGCATAAAATATGCATATATATGCATAAGCTTATATATATAAGCATATATATGTATATTTTAAGCTTATATATGCATAAGCTTAAAAAATTCTTTCTTGGGGCATCTGAATGGCTCAGTCAGTTAAACATCTGACTTTGGCTCAGGTCATGATCTCATGGTTCGTGAATTCACACCCAAGTCAGACTCTGCATTGATAGTGAGGAGCCTGCTTCTGATTCTCTCTCTGTCTCTCTCTCTTTGCCCCTCCTCTGCTCATGCTCTCTCTTTCTTACTATCTTTCTCAAAAATAAATAAATAAACATTGAAAACATTCTTGCTTCAAGCTGAATGATGCATTTGACAAAGATCTCCGGGATCTGAACTAAGCTAAACCATGAAAATAAAGCTAACTACAGATAAGAAAGACAAGGGCTGCCATCATCAACTTTATCTGAAAGAGATGAAAAAGAAAGACCATGGGATGCCTGGGTGGCTCAGTCAGTTGGCATCTGGCTCAGGTCATGATTTTGTGGTTCGTGGGTTCGAGCCCCTCATCAGGTTCTGTGCTGGCAGCTCAGAGCTTGGAGCCTGTTTCAGATTCTGTGTTTCTCTCTCTCTCTAACCCTCCCCCATTCATGTTCTGTCTCTCTCTGTTTCAAAATTAAACTATAAAAAAAAAAATTTTAAAGAAAAAGCAAAACCATGTTTTGTGAGAATCGAAGAAAGAAAAAAACTAAACATTTACACAGTATTATATGTGCCAGATCTGTGCCAGGGGCTTGACATAAATCGGTTAGGCTCATTATCTCCTATCGCAGATGAGCAAACTGAAGTTCAGAGGATCATGGGGTGAGGGCATGAACCAAGCTTTAAGACATGTTTCTTGCTAGGGTTCGTAGGTGGCTCAGTCCGTTAAATGTCCAACTTTGGCTCAGGTCATGACGTGGTGGTCAGTGAGTACGAGCTGCACATCGGGCTCTCTGCTGACAGCTCAGAGCCTGAAGCCTGCTTTGGGTCTGTCCCTCTGCCCCATTTGGTCTTCACAAATGTTACCCGAGTGGGGTGGGGGCTCCCAGGCAGAGGAGCAGGTTTCCCAGCCCTTCTCCTGGCTCACTCTGCTTCATTTCCTCCTGTCCTGTCCAGTGGGAACAGTCATTCAATTGTCCAACATCCCACCCTGCAGCGAAAGCCCCTGCACTAGACTTAACTTCCTCTGTGTCTGTCTCTCCAGGTTCTAGAATGCTGCCTCTAACACACAGATGCTCCAGAAATGTGCTGAGTCGCTTTGCCAAGGGGCAGAAAAGACAGCGGGGATGTGAGAATCTACGCTGCCCTGCCAGAGCGGAAAGCTTGGGGAGGCTTGGACTTTCACTGCCTTAGGGTTGGGGGCGGGGATGACCTTCACTACCTGGAGGACTGGGGCAGGTAGGCCCCCAGGGGACACATGGGCAAAATGTGACAAGTTCAAACAGGAGCAGATGAACTTGACCTGCTGTCAAACCAACATTAGCCGCACAATGGTCTAGCTGGTCTCAGGAACCCACAGAGGATGAGCCCTGAGACCCCTCCCACTTGAATAAAGTCCTCTCTTTACACCCTGGAGAGGGGATGGAGGGTCTGCTGGGAGGAATCCAGGGACCAGTCTAAGGGCATGGGGGGGACTCTGACTCTCTGCATAGGTGGGGTCAGTGCCTCAGAGTGAACCTATGACAACCTATGTGGGGGCATCTCTTCTGAGGGTCCCGGATGTGTCATGCATGGAAACACGAGGGCATTCTCCTGAGGTGCTCACTGAGGATCTCTCTGTGCTTCCATCTTATTTTTTTTTAAGTTTCATTTATTTTTGAGAGAGAGAGAGGGAATGAGTGGAGGAGGAGCAGAAAGAGCAGGGGTGGACACAGAATCTGAAGCAGGCTCCAGGCTCTGAGCTGTCAGCACATAACCCGACATGGGACTCAAACCGTAAGTCCTCGAACCGTGGTCACTCGAACTGGAACTTCGACTTGAGCTGAAGTCAGATGCTTAACCAACAGAGCCACCCAGGGCATCCCTGAGCTGTCACTTTTGATATCCAGTGTTCGGTTCCATCCTGTGGGATATACTCCTCATAAGGAAGAGGAAAGACAGACAAAAGTGAGAGGAGACACAGGAAAGAATTAGAGAGAGAGCGTGGGGGAGGAGAGGCGACAAAGAGAAAATGCAGAAGGAAAAAGATATGGAGAGAGGGAATATAACCAAAAATCCTCAGAGCAGGAGATGAGGGGGAAAGATCAAGACAAAGGGAAGGAGAGAAGTAGGAAAGAAAGGAAAACCAGAGAGGACAAGAGACAGAACAAAATACAGCTGGATGAGGGAGAAGTTGTGTCACCAGGACATGCTTGTTTTGAACTTGAAGCAGAGAGATCAGACAATGCATCCCTGGCTGCCCTCCTTGTACCTGGAATCTCCAGGCCAAGAGCCCTGTCCTAAATCTGGCTCCTTAGGTTGGGGCTCCCCTGCTTTACCAGGAGGAGACCTCAGTCCTAGATGGACTATGAGGGGTGGATGCTCTGTATGTCCATCTACTAGTCATCAATTACCAAGGCTAATGACTCCAGCCCTTCCCTGGGCTCCACCCTTCTCTCTGCTTGGGAGGGCCCACCGACTCAGAGGGTCCAAGAGCCAGTCCTAGGGGGGTCAAAGAGTAGAACTCAGGAGTCTGTCCTAGACTTAGGTGGAAGAGAAGAGCCTCTGAGGAGAAGAAATCTATGACATCAGTAAGACCTATGGGATGGAGCTGTTGCCCTGTGTGGGCTTTAATCTCCGGAAGATTCAGCTATGGCTCCCAGGAGTCCCGAGGGCCCTGACCCAGAACAGTCCCCAAGGGAGGACCCATCTACCTTCCCACATGCCCATTGGCCTGATTGCCTGTCTCCCAGGAGGGAGATCGACAGGTGTTCAGTGTCCACCTGCAGGACCACGTTACCCTTCTCAGAAAAGTTTTATAAATAGTCCAGCAGATTGAGTGTGGATAGATGGGGCAGGGGGAGGGGGGGAGAAGCAAGTACAGCAAAATATTAACCATGGTTGAATCTACATGGTGTGTATATGAGTGCTCTCTGTACAATTCTTTCAATTGTTTTCACTGTTTGGATTTTTTTTTTCATATCAAATAACAGGGAAGAGAAAGAAAAAACATTTCCCTGGAAAACAGTAGGCACTCCTACGTACAGGGCGTTGGGTGTATAATCCCTTTTCCGGGAAATCTAGATTTCAAATGTAGGACACTGAAGACAATGCTTTTCCCGAAAGATGACAGAGTACAGGTAGGAGCACCTGTGGAACACCGTAATAGTGGGGGGACACCTTAGACTACACCCAGAAGCAATTAGTAACTTGCCCACCCAAAGCTGCTGACCCTTCTGTTGGTGACCTTTTCTCAAGTATATTCTGCCCGTCCTGAGATCTGGGCCTTGGCCCAGAGGGGACCCCACCCTGCCACCTGTAACTCTTGAGGGGAGAGGGAGAATAAAGTATTCCAGACCCTTCTTGAAAACTGACCCTAAGAGGCTGAACATGTTTGCTCAGAAGGTGAGGTTCGCACAATAAAGAGCAGGTGGGGGGTGGGGGGTTGGACCTGGTATAAAAGATCTGGAAGTTTCCAGGTGGTTACTTTGCAGCGGGAACTGCCAGGTGAGAGGTGACAAGGGCTGGGGTAAGGGATGACAGGGATGGCTGGGTCTCAGCTAGGGAGGAATTCAAGCTGAGCTGAGAGCAGCCTGCTTGGATGGAGTGGCAGGAGAGACCTGTGTGTCAACTACCTGGAGCATCTGAGTGAGGCGTAAAGACATCTGAGTCTCAGAGGAAGGACTGGGGATCCCTGGGATGCTCAGGGGAATTGATACGACCAGATTTGTGTTAGTGCAGAAAGAATTATGACAAATCAACCAGGATATCTGGAATCTGATATCTTGAGCTGTGATCCAAACTCTTTCTGCAGTTTCTCAACTGTTCAGATGCTGGTACTGGCACAGTCTTGTCTATAATCACCTTCACTCCACGGGTGACAGAGAAGCGCAGCCCTAAAATGCTCCTTTCCTTCTGTTTTGTGACCCGGGTGAAGCTAGGAATTTAAACTCTGCCCCAGATGTCTCCCAGCCAGGCCAATGTATCACTTAGATTGCACTTAGGTTTTGCTCAGACTCAACCACCTCTATGGTTTGGAGATGGCCTCCACGTCTTTGAAATCTCTTTTCCTGCTTTGTGACAGGAGGGAACAGGACTTAACACAGGGTGGCCCAGGCAGAGGCTGAGGATTGATCTTCTGATTGGGGAGGGGAGATGGGGGTTGGCTACCTGCAGACCAGGGAGGACATAGGGGTGATGCACACAGAAGATAGTGTCTTCCAGAAGCAGGACTAGAGACTAGGGACCATCGTTTCTGAGCCCAAGACTGGGTCAGTTAGGGCTGAGTTGAGGGACAAAGATGGCTGAGTCTCAACTGGAGGTCTAACCCAGGGATGCCTGGGGAAATGAAGTCCAAAGGAAAGATGGTAAACCTTGACGTTCTCCTTTCTTTCCCCTCCAGCCCCAGAATGTTGACCATTACTCTTCTTGCCCTTCTCTGTGCATCAGCCTCGGCCAATGCCAGTAAGTGACACGCCAGGAGGCCAGTAGTAGCGTCACGGGAAGGCAGCTTCCTGCACTGCTGGTGGCCAAGGCTTCCAGAGGCTGGCTTGGGGTGGTGGGCCCTGAGGTATGGGAGGTATAGGAGCAGTGACGAGGAACTCGAGCTCTTGAGATCTCAGCTTCTGACGCCTACTGTCTCCTCCAGTTCAGGCTAGGGCCTCCTCCTACAATGGAGAGTATGGAGGCGGTGGAGGCCAGCGATTCTCCCATTCTGGTTACCAGCTGGAGGGGCCCATCACTGCCATCCGTATCCGGGTCAACAGATACTACATCGTAGGGTAAGATTCTTGTGTTTCTGTTGTTTGGGGTTCTTCTCCGGTCTTACTTTAGGTCACATCTATTTCAATCAACAAGCCCCAGGGATAACTTGGTGAGTGAAAGCTATCAGGGGACTGGGGTCTGAGGCCAGTGCGGTGACAGCGCTACAGCCCCCAGTGTGTGCATGGCCTGGGGTGAATCATGTACCACAGCCGCTTGGGCGCCTGGAGCTGGCTACTTTGGCCCCACCTGAGGTGTAAGTCCCCTCGGGCAATCTCCAACTTTGGTGATGCCTCTCCCCAGAACGTGTATCCTTCTGAATCTGGGGCAGCAAAGCCTCTTCTGTCAGGAGAGCCTTCCAGAAAGGCCCATCTACTTCCTTCACGTAGGGGTTGGGGGTACAGCGGGAACCTAGGTTTCAAATTGATGCCTTACCACTGTCAGGGGGGCTCCGGCTAAGTTACTTTTCCTCTCTGAGCCTGTCGGGATAACGACTTGAAGTTCCCAGTATGATCTCAAGGGCTCGGCTCTCTCATCCCTCACACACCGTGGGGCTGCCAGGGGGCCTGTCATCCCTGCTCCAGTTTGCAGGTCTCTCCGCTTGTAGGCCAGGAGGTCCTGATTTCTGGTCACCCTGCTCAGTGTCAGTCTTCCCTCCCTCCTCGCCCTGCCCCTAGGCTCCAGGTGCGCTACGGCAAGGTGTGGAGCGACTATGTGGGTGGCAGCCAGGGAGACCTGGAGGAGATTTTCCTGCACCCTGGGGAGTCAGTGATCCAGGTGTCTGGCAAGTACAACTCCTACCTGAAGCAGCTGGTCTTTGTGACTAACAAGGGCCGGAACCTGTCTTTTGGGACAGACACAGGCACCAGTTTCAGTGCTGTCCCCTTGTACCCCAAGACCGGTCTACGATTCATCAGCGGTCATGCTAGCATCTTCATCAACGCCATCGGCCTGCACTGGGACGTCTACCCCAGGAAGTGAACCAGTTGCTGAACCGCTGCCTTGCCCTGGGCTGAGCACTGCAGCTGGGGTGTCAGAACCGCCTAACCGTTAACCCCATCTGCTCAATAAAATATAAAAGGACACAGCTGACCCTGGTGTGTATGTGGCTGTGTGCATCTGGGAACTGCGTCCTGACTCTGGCTGTGGATGTGCCCATCCCCTTTCAGGCTATCTGTCGATGTCATTCCAGGGAAGAGGGGGAGGGACAGAGAGAGGTGTGAAAGTCTTGTGTTTTTCTTCATAGTTTATATAGAGGAAATAAGATTCTGTCCTGAACCATCTCTTTTTTTCAAGGATAGCTCCTGAGTCTGTTTACCCAACTGGAGTTCTAAGGCTGAGGGTGAAGCCTGGCTGTGGCTTATTCATCAAACCCCTACATCCACGCTCTAGTTCTTGTCTCCCGTTGACAGTGTCTCCCCGGCAAAAGGCTGGCACCTGGCTCCCTTGACATTAACCCACTTACTGTCTCTTGGTGGCCCAGGCCATTTTCCTTTGTGCTTTCCCAGAATCCACCTGACTCTCGAAGCTTGGCCTAAGTTTGTGTCAAGAACTCTGTTACCCCAGCCTCGTTCCTCCCCACCTTTGCCCATAAGCACTGACGTTCCCTGTTTAGCTCAGCTTGCTCTGAATTGGGCTTCTTCCTCCTAGGAAGCCACCACCTCCCCGACAGCTTCTACTCTGCCAAGACCATCCTCAAAAAAGGGCGTTCCAAGAGGAGTAGAGTTCCATGGCGGGCTTCCGCGAATGCCAGGGGTTGGTTGGCATTCAGGGGAAGCGACAGAGTGGCTGGATAGATTCAGCAATGATATTAAGTTGCTTTGGAAATCATTCTTGGGACTCTAGTTCCCTGTTCTAAAATTACCACACTGTTCGGTTTTTGCCGTTTGGTGGTGGTGGTTGGGAGTGGGGGAAGTCACTCATCGCTCCCCAAAGATTCACTCACATCATGGGGAATTGCAGAGTCACATTTCTTTCCCGATTAGACAAATATAACACTTAGGTACATGTAATCTTAGAAAGAAATATTAACAGAGAAACAAACCCAGGCCTAGATTGTTTTTAGAGTAATTCCTTTATTTCTCTCAAACAAGTCCATGGAATGGAATATTATGTCACTAACTTTTTTGTGATATAAAGCACATAAAATTTATTTATTTATTTATTTATTTATTTATTTAAGTTTATTTGAGAGAGAGCATGAGTGCCAGAGGGGCAGAGAGAGGAGAGAGAGAGAATCCAAAGCAGGCTCCACACTCAGTGAGGAGCCCAAAGCGGGGCTCAATCTCACAAACCGTGAGATCATATCCAGAGTCAGCCACTTAACTGACTGAGCCATCAGGCCCCAAAATTCACCCTATTAAAATGTGCTGTTTCGGTGGGTTTAGGACATTCACAGATTGTGTAACCATCACTGCTAACTCTGAAATATTGTCATCAGCTCAGAAAGAAATCCATCCCCATTAAGCAGTCACTCCCCACCCCTCTCTCCCAGCCCCTCATAACCACCCATCTACTTCTGTCTCTACGGATTTGCTTATTCCGGACATTTCATGTAGGTGGAATCATACGATAATGTGATCTTTTGTGTCTGGCTTCTCCCATTTAGCATGTTTTCATACTTCATCCACGTTGTAGTACGGGTCAGGATTTCGTTCCTTTGTATGGCTGAACCTGACACATCATATACCTGGTCAACTTCAGGATAGACTTCTCACCCGCTGGTGAAGGCGCTGGCACCGGACAGGCAGCTGCAACAGAAGATGATGCAGTAATGGATTCCTGGCTTCTGTGTGGTCTACATATTGGGCTTTTCTTTTTTTAAAATTTTTTTAATGTTTTACTTATTTCTGAGAGAGAGAGAGAGAGACAGCATGAGCAGGGGAGGGTCAGAGAGAGACGGAGACACAGAATCTCTAGCAGGCTCCAGGCTCTGAGCTAGCTGTCAGCACAGAGCCCAACGCGGGGCTTGAACCCACCAACCGCGAGATCATGACCTGAGCCGAAGTCGGACGCTTAACCAACTGAGCCACCCAGGCACACTCATGTTGGGCTTTTCTAAAAGATTTTCTTTAAAGAAAAACGGTTTTACTTATAAAATTCTAAAATTTCTAAATCGAGCTAACCATACGTTTATCAAACACTCTCTGCTAGGTGCTTGGGAATACAAAGTCCACTGAAGATTTGTTTCTTTTTCTCTAGTTGAAGGGAAGATTTGGTGAGGGAAGGGGTGTGTGTGTGTACGCATGCACACATGTGATAGGGACACAGTACAGGGCTCAGGCCTCAGCCTATGCAGAAATGTGAACATATAAAAACGACAATTGCACAGTTTCCTCCTGGACAGGAGGCACATGAGCTTGTTTATATAATGAAGAAGGAGTCAGAGAGAGGAAGAGACTGAGGGCTCAGGAAAGAGGAGGTAACTGAGGGAACAAGGTCTCACAGGAGACGAGGGAGGATGTTTTATGGAGATGTTGGGGCAGAAAACATAGAAAAAGAAGAAAATAGAGATGAGTGAAGATACACAGGTTAATTGTAGAGGGAGTGAGTATGGAGTAAAACTTGATGGAATTAATACTTAATCCTGACTTGTTCGGTTGCATAAGTAAAGTTACGTGCTGTATTATTCAGATTCTTCCAGAGGAAAACTAGGAGGGGACATACGTATATATATACATACAGAATTTTTTAAAGAGTTTATTTTATTTATTTATTTAAATGCTTTATTTTTGAGAGAGAGCACGCCCACGCAGGAGCGTGATGTGAGTGGAGCAGGAGCAGAGAGAGAGAGGGGGAGACAGAATCTGAAGCAGGCTCCAGCTGTCAGCACAGGGCCCACTGGGGGCTCGAACTTGTGAATTTGAAGGTCATGACCTAAGTTGAGGTCGGATGCTTAGCTGACTGAGGCACCCAGGCGCCCCTTTAAGATTTTATTTATTTATTTATTCATTTAAATGTTTACTGATTTTGAGAGAGAGAGAGGGAACATGAAGGGGGAGGGCAGAGAGAGGGAGACAGAATCCCAAGCAGGCGTTAGGCTCTGAGCTGTTAGCACACAGCTGGACTTGGGGACTGAACTCATGAACCACGAGATCAGGACCTTAGCAGAAGTCAGACACTCTACCGACTGAGCCAGACACCCAGGTGCCCCTAAGATTTTATTTTTAAGTCATCTCTACCAGAAATGGGCTTGAACCTACAACCCCGAGATCATGAGTTGCATCCTCTACCGACTGAGCCAGCCCGGTGCCCCTATACGTAAAGAGATTTACTGCAAAGCATTGGCTCTACAACCAATGGGTGGATGTGGGTAAGACAAGTGTGAAATCTGAAGGGCAGGCCGGCAGTCTGGAAACTCCTGGGGAGGGCGGATGCTGCAGTCCACAGGCAGAATTTCCTCTTCCTCAGGGCAACCTCAGTTTTGCTCTTTTTCTTCCTTGTAAATTAATTTATTATCAAAATTTACACTCGTAGTAACTTGATTTTCTTTAAAAATAATTTTCCGGCTTTATTGAAGTATAATTGACAAATAAGAGTGTAATATATTTAAAATGTACAATGTTGTGAAAGGACTCCCACGGTCAAGTTCATTACCACATCCATCACCTCAGAGTTAAAAAAAATTTTTATGCAAGAATAATTGACATACAATATTGTATTAGTTTCAGTTGTACAACACTGATTCAATATTTATATACACTATGAAATGGTCACCATGATTAGCTACTATCTGTCACCATATACAGTCGCTATATTTTTAACTATATTCCCTATACTGTACATCACTACATCTTATTTATTTTAGCAATTGTTACTCTTTTATTTTATTAACCTTTATTTATTTATTTTAATAGTTACTTATTTTTGAGAAAGAGAGAGAGCAAGGGAGGGGCAGAGAGAGAAGGAGACAGAGAATCCGAAGCAGGCTCCAGGCTCTGAGCTGTCAGTACAGAGCCTGATGAGGGGCTCAAACTCATGAGCCATGAGATCATAACCTGAGCTGAAGTCGGACCCCTAACTGACCAAGCCACTCAGGTACCCCTACTTTTATTTTTTTTAGAGAGAGAGAAAGCACACATGAGCTAGGGAGAGGGGCAGAGGGAAAGAGAGAGAGAACCTTAAGCAGGCTCCATGCTCAGTGCAGAGCCTGACACAGAGCTCGATCCCATGACCCTGGGATCATGACCTGAGCCGAAATCAAGAGTTGAATGCTCAACTGACTGAGCCACCCAAGTGTTCCAGAGTAACCCTTAAAAAAATTTTTTTTGGGAGATGCCTGGGTGGTTCAGTTAGTTAAGCATCTTTTTTTTTTTTTGTAATCTTTATTTATTTTTGAGAGAGAGATCGAGTGTGAGCAGGGGAGGAGCAGAGAGAGAGCAAGACACAGAATTCGAAGCAGGCTCCAGGCTCTGAGCTGTCAGCACAGAGCCTGATGAGGGGCTTGAACTCATGAATGGCGAGATCATGACCTGAGTCTAAGTTGGACGCTCAACCGACTGAGCTACCCAGGCACCCCTTAAGTGTCTGATTCTTGATCTCAGATCAGGTCTTGATCTTAGATCATGAGTTCAAGCCTCATGTTTGGGCTCCATACTGGGTGTGAAGCTTACTTAAAAAATAATAACAAAGATAAAAAATAAAAAAATTTTGGGGGGCACCTGGGTGGCTCAGTTGGTTGAGTATCAACTCTTGATCTTGGCTCAGGTCATCATCTCACAGTGCGTGGGATCAAGTCCCACATCGGGCTCGACACTGACAGTGCGGAGCCTTGAGATTCTCTCTCTCCCCATTTCTCTCTCTCTGCCCCTCTCCTGCTTATATGCTCACACTCTCTCTCTCTCAAAATAAATAAATAAACATTTTTAAAAATTTTGTGAGAATGCTTAAGATCTACTCTCTTAGCGCACTGCAATCATACACTACAGTATTATCAACTATAGTTACCATGCTACACAGTAGAAAGCCTGTAGCCTTTTACC